AAAAGGCATTGATTGATTAAACAAACTAGGGTTTAGTGAATTGCCACAATTCTAAATGAAGGAAAATTTCACAATGATAATTAAAATTTTGTGCGCTTGCTCTGTCTGAAAAAATTTGCAAGGCAGCTTACTGTTTTCAGGCGGATGGAATATGCTAACTGTACAAGACGTAGATCAATATCAGTGATTCTGGGGTACCATACAGGCTCTGTAAATCATGTAGAATAATTTTGCGCAGGAATCTAAAAAGGAAAGGAAATTTTACTCTCTCTTTTCTTTAATTTTAATTTAATACAAGTGAGACCTGAAACATGAGGCACAATGTGTAATTGCCTAATGTGCCAAATGTTTAGTTCTAAGCTGCACAAAAAACATTCTCTTGGAGAGCAATTCACCATTAAGAAAGAACCTAATAGACGTTTGCAGCTTATGTCTTTGTTCTTTAGAAAACGGTTTTCCCACAAATGCTTCAAATAAAATTCAAACAAATCCTTTAGATTTTTTGCAGCATAAATTGCTATAGCAGCCAAACAAGTAACATTATGAGTTTTTTCTAATTTTTACATATATATTCAAAGAAAATCCTACTAAAAGAAACAAGGTTTTGAGAAGAATGTTATTAACAAGTTCTAATTATTTTAAAAGCGAATAATCTGAAAGTTTTTAAAAAAACTTTCTGAACAAAGTACAATATAAAAATAAAATATATATGTTTTGCTTTCAGGTCAAAATAAAGCCTAGCCACTATCAAGTGCCTCAAAAATGACCACTTTAGCTCTTGTAAAAGTTCAATTAAAAACAAGACAATCAAACAACGGGTTAAAGAGACTGGTTAAAACTGTAAACCAAACATCAAGCAGTATTATGAAAGAGACAAATTTTTTTAACAATTTTTTAACAGCAGGTCAACATTTAAGTAATTTTTTCACCTGCAGTGGGTTACAATTTACCGATGGAAAAGAGAATTCTGGTCTAGCTCGGGTTGTTGCTCACTGCAATGTTGCTTAAGAACATTTTTTGTCTAAGAACTGTTAATACTTGGTACTAATAGAGTTAAAGTAATTTTAACTTAAAATATGAAAGTTGCAAATGTAATTTATGGTCTTCAAATTCATTTAAGTATGCACCCTTGTACATAGTGCAACGTTAAATTCCGAGTTAAATTCCGTAAAGTTCCGAGCGTCTAGCCAAATCTGAAAACTTGCGAACACTGGGTTAGTCAAATCTATCTTTGAGTCTTTTCAGCAAACCGGCAGGAGTTGTTTCTTGTGCAAAATTGTTTGGCAATCAAATGTAAAGCAATCATAATTGGGCTTGACAGTTTTCTAAATTTGGAAATAATTCCACCAATGGAATATAATTTCTTTATAGGAGTTGTCAATCAAGTTTTGAAGACACTAAAAACTGCATTTACTTCGGGCAACTTAGCCCGAAGCATGGGGTTCGGTTTAAGAAAAATGAATGCGCGGAGCCACTTAAAAATGTGAATGTGCTCCAGCAAATTGCTAATACAAACTTTCTCGTATTTATCACATAATTGAAAAGCATTCAAAAGTTTCAGTTTATTTGTAAAAGCTTGTTTTGAATTCAAAGACTTACAATTTCTTTAAATGCTATTTAAATGCATTTAAAGAAATTGTTTCTGTGAAAAAATGAGTTTATATATATATATATATATATATATATATATAAAGACAGATGTTTATTATTTATGAAATTTTGACATATTTATCCTATGCAAAAGCAAGTTTAAACCACTCTTCAAATAGCAAATTAATTGTTTTGTAAATAGAATTAAAATGGTATGTGTAATAGTATAACAATTATAATAAAAATTGTTAATATAACAAAGTAGAACACTCATGTAACCATTATTTTGGAAATAGTGATAAAATACCACAGTAATCAGTAACGTTTTGAGGTCTTAGTAACATAAAATTAATAAAACATAAACAAAAACTGCCATAAACCTTTATCTAGTTAACCAATCCGTTTAAAATTTTATCAAGAGTTTGGGGTTGCCATATGCTACATCTGCACTAATTTTTATCAAAATACATATAGTGGTTCTTACTCTTTTTAGGTGTTTTAACTGTTAACTATAAAGTCATAACTTTACTTATTTTGAACATTTAAATAAATTATTTTCTATGGACAAAATTAAAAGATTTTAAAATTGGTACCTTGATATGTACGTTCTCACTCCATTTTAGCAGCAAGCTCGGGTCAGCTACATTGGCATTAATATGATCTTTGCTAACCGTGTTTTTCTTAATTAAATGGCAACAAACCTTTTACAATCAGTACATCTTCGTGGCCAAAGAAGTTAGCTTGCAGAGTTTCTGAAGCTAAACGCCGTGATTCAAATCCTACCACTGTACACTTTTTTTTTCCAAATCTTCTTTGATTTTTTTTTTTGAATATAAAATAACGCACTTTTTAAGTTTTATAGATATTATGTACATATTATATATACAGATATTATATACTATAACAAACAAAAGGAAGAAATTTTTAAAAAAATTATAAAAATTCTAAATCTATCAAGACAATGCTGTGTCTTGATAGATTTTTTCTTGATAGATTTCTTAATAGATTCTCGGCGCACCGGGAGAAGTTTGCTGCGCAAACGTCATGGTTAATCAACTTATGATATAAATGTAACCAGATAATCAATCCCAAAAAGCTGCGTTGTTCCGAAAAAAGTATAATACTGAAACTTCCTTAACCCATTTTATACTAATACATTATACTGGATGGACAAGATTTGATTGTTTCACTCCAAGATCTTGCACCATATTCTGCCCCATAAGAAAGTTTTTATAGTTTTAATGAGATTAATATATATAAATTTTACAAAAATTTATATTGTCAAACTACTGTACTTGTAATCAATGTGAACTGCTAATTTTTTAAAACTTCCTTCAATTCATTTTTACTTAAGTTTTTTAGATCAATAAACTTACCCTCAGTAATAAATCATCATTATAGAAATTCTTTGCAGCACTAAACCAGTGCTGTTAAAAAAAAGATTATTTTGTAAAAAGTTTATATCTTCAAGCCAAAATGAAAAAAATTAATAAAATTTGAAAGAAAAATTTAAAAAAAAAAAAAAAAAATTATTTGATGCAATAAAAAGTTTATTTAACGAATTGAAATAATCAAATTTATCTTAGAATTTAAAATTTATTGTAAGGAAACTCTTATTTTTACAATTATAAATGCTGACAATTTTATTCAGTTAGTTTATAAAACGGTGTATAATGTTGTTGACTTTCAGTAAGATTTTTTTACATATTATGCAGGAACAAACGTATAAATTTTATTTCAAGTACAAGGATAAAACATATTCAATATAGTAATTAAGCAGTTAAGTTATATGTTTTGGCAAAATGTAAACACAATATTTATAAAAATTTGGAATTTTATTGGAATGCGGATATAGATGGGTATACATTGGTCAAATGAACCACGTTTTTCCACCCTTGTCTGTAAAAATGTTTTAATTTTTCAAATATTGCATCCATTTTGCAAATAATAATGTTTTATAACAATATAAACAATAAGTTATATAAAAAAAGCAACAGATGAAAAATATAGTAACTTAAAAAAGAATACACTGGTGGTAGCACAACTATGCAACCACTTTTAAAAAACATAATCACAAAAAATTACTTTTTATTATCTGGTTCACCACATGAGGTCTGATGTTACTCTTGAAAAAAGTTATTGCTCAAGAATTATACTCCTTGACAACAGCATGCTACAACCAATATCAAAAATATTGGTCTTGAGCCAAGAATCATACAGCTTGAAGAATCATACTGCTTGACAACAGCATGCTACAACCAATATCAAAAATATTGGTCTTGAGCCAATGGTAAAAGTTAAAGATGGAACAAAAGGAAAATCGACCAAACTAATGATACTTTTCCCCATAATATAATATCATACAACTAGAGAATGGCTTATGTTGATTTAATAGGTATAATAACATCTTTCTACTAAATAAAAGTAAATACATGCTGGTGGTTCCTCCACTACGTGCCTAATAATTTGAACTATCTAGAATTTTAAATAACAAAACGTATGAGTTTTGTGAAGACATATCCATAACTTAAAGTACTTAAAGTTTAATATGCTAAAGTTTAATGTACTAGTTTGAGATATATTACTTAATTTAAGTTTTATTTTACTTCACAAACAATTTTTTTTTTGTGATATGTTAAATACAACCCTGGAACATTTAAGTTAAAAATCTTTTAAACGTTATATTTATGTTTTATTTTGTAATTTAATTTAGTTAACCTCCATAGGATTCTAAAAACACCACAGTAAATAGTTTTTATTCCAAAAAAAGTTTTTATTCCAAAAAAAGTGAAAATTATTTATTTCAAATTTTTACTTGCAACTTTTAACTCTGAACTCCAAAGCGCGAAACTTTTACAAGATCAATGCGTGGAGAAAAGCTTTAACGCAGCACTTCTAAATGCGAGTGGATTTAAACCTTGAACTTTTAAACTATGATTTGAAAGCTCTATTATTAGTCTTCTATCGTATTTACATCTTTATAATCCCTCTATTCTACAACAGGTTTAACTAATAACTCTGATCATAAACTTAGACTAGATTTATTAGGCTACTAGCGCATTGATATCATTAAAATTCAATATGTTCATTTAATTCATAGTTCCACTCAAAACCTTTAATTTTAAATTTCAAATAGAGGGAATTGTAAACTTTATTTAGAGAAAAAAAAGGAAACAATAAAAGTTATGTTTTATATAACAAAACTATTATTGTAATAATATTAACAATAGTTATGTTTTATATAACAAAACTATTATTTAAACTATTAAACTAAAAAAATTTATATTTATATATCAATGGTAGAAATATATTTATAATTTATATATTTGTTTAATATATTTATGATTAGTAACTTTGATTATTATTTTGATTAGGTAAATGAAAATTAGTAACAACGATGTTTGACTTACCTTCAAAAAAACAACTGTAGTTAACAACAGTGTATTTGTAAATTCCTGAACACGGATCAGTAAATTCAGCATTGTTAGATTGAACAGAGCAGTTACTGGAGTTGTTGCACCGTTGCTGGACAAGTTCAGTTACAGTTTTTGGAGATATGCAAATATTTAACTCTGAAGCAGAACTTACGTAAGATGATGTACATATGCTACTGCTATTACGACCATATATGGCACTTTGAATTTTTATCAATGAATTTACTGGACACTGTATAGTTTCAGATGAGCCTTCACAAATTGTAACTGGAAATAAGTAAGGAGTTTATATTTTAAATAAAAGTCACTAGTTTTTTATTTTACTATTTTACTATTTTTTTATTATCAGAAAAACCACAGAATATTTGGTAAATCATAATATTTCAAAATACTTTTAAGTTAAATAATTTAAACTTAAACTCAAATAACATAACTTAGAGTCAAACAAAACAAAAAAAATTATCATAACTTACATAGTTGCGTAAGGTAACATAATTATCATTACTCAAATAACTTAACAAACATTCATAAATTTAAGTTGAAAAATAAAAAGCTAGATCTGTATGAATTTTTGAGATGAAAAGACTACTTTAAGGGTAGATAATCAAAGATATACAACTGAAAGGACAAATGAAAAAGTTTTAAGAACCTAAAAAATGATTTAAAAATGTCATCTAAATCATATCATAAAAATAAATCTGGATTGCTGATTTAAGATATATTAATGAAGACAACACCACACCTTAAAAATAGAATAAAAATTTGTCTTCTCAATTATTAATATTAATGTAACCCGCTATTTTGATTTAATAATATTAATGTAACCCGCCAAATTTGTCATTTAAGTTCATAATATTAATGTAGCCCGCAATAATCCGAACCCGTTAAATGACGAAAATGAACTAATATCAAAGGCCAAAATAAATTTCATAAACGTAAACTTAATAAGAAAAAATAATAATAAACAGCTAAAAAATTATCTTAACTTAAATGAATCTCTCTGGCAGATTAACCCATATCCTGAGATAATGATTTAAAAAAAAAAACACAAGTTCAACAGTCAACTCAATAAAAATTACAAGTCCAACAGCCAACTCAATAAAATGAAAAAGGTTGAAGAAGTATCTGTAATAAAATCTAGAAAACAAATTAAATGCTCAATATATATATAAAAACTAAAACTAAAAATGCAAACTTAAAAAGTGATAAAATTGGCATTAGTCTCCTTTAGGAAGATACAAAAAATGCAAGAAGAACAAAAAAAAGAAGAAAAGTAAAAGAAAAATCACAACACCAACAAAAATAAAAGATGTTATTTAGCAGCTGTCGCCAAAGCAGAATACTACTTTCAACAAGTCTATTATATGCGATATAAATTTAACTTGACTACCCAGTAAAAATGCGACGTCTCAAAGACACCTAAAAAGTGTCTTTTAGACTTCAAGACGTCTTACTGGGCTAGGTCAAAAAACTACAGTTAAGACGGTGCATTAAAGGTTTGAAAATAAATATTCAAACACATTTGTAAACTGCATTAATAAAACATACGCAACAACAAGCATTCGCAAAAACAAGTTGCTTTTTTTATCATTAGACTGATTTAGATACTGAAACACTGACTTAGATACTGAAATTAATATAAAACGCCATTGTAAAACCATGGTCTAAATAATAACTAAAAAAATGATAATTTTCATTTACTCGACTAGAT